AATTGTATGGAAACACGTTGGTTCAATGTAAATTGTGTGGAAACACATTTGTTCAATAGTGTAAATTGTGACTAAACCTGTTCAGTACACATTGGTTTAATGTAAATTAAGGAAACATATTGGTTCAATTAAAAGTGTGTGGAAACACATTGGTTTAAAATGATTTTTAGATTTATATTTGTTTAATATTAATTTGTGGTGGTACACACATTGGTTAAATCTTAGTAAAAAATAAACAAAATAAATGTTATAGAATATTATGTAAAAAAGTTGTACATAGAAATTTTGCACAGTAAAATTTGAAGTAAATCTATTAAGATTTGTTGAATATTCTCTTTCAATGGTAGGATACTACGTCATCGCGCACCTGCTGAATGCTCCCACTTGGACCATTTTTTCGTCGACTCGAAGGTAAAATACAATTTTATTATAAGAAAACGTAAGAGTATCAAAAAATCATGTAGCGCACCAAAGAATGGCTATAGTACTTGAGATAATTGTAAATAAAGTTTATAGATTCATAGCCTGGTTTAGGCCTGAAAACGAGATAAGTGTTTTTCACTGAATGCTCCCACTCGGACTTTTCCCGAAACATATATGAAAAAAGGTTGAAAACCTTCTTGAAAATTATTTTTAACGTACCGGAACATAAACCGAGTCATGTTTACCCCTTATTCTATATTAGTTTTAAATATTTCTATTCAGAAGTCAGTTTTTCTTAATTCTTTTTATGAAAATGGAAAATGCTCCCACTCGGACTCAAGTTCAGAGATGCTCCCACTCGGACCTAAATATATACAAATTTTGAAAGCATAAATATCTTTATATTCACGTTTATATATTCATATAATCAGTTAGAATTCAATGAAACAGCATTTTTAAAATACGATACTAATATTTAGATCACTAAATTTGTGACATATTTTATCATAACAGTCTCGTACATATGTCTTCTTAGAGGATCACTTATCGGCCTAAGAATAAGAAAAAAAAAGGTTGTGTTGAAATAATTCCTCGTAAAATAGAGTCGCTGAAATCAGAAAGAAATGGATTATACATTTTAAAAATATAATAACGTTTTGTTTTGCAGAAGTATTTGTGACCCGCATGGGAAAGGTATAAACCACATTGCGACGTAAGAAAGCACATGGCAGGACATCTTGGCACGGCATAGCTGGAGCAAATATTTTAGATACCAACTATGGATGTATCTCAGTGAGGAGGAATCCTCTAGAAAATACAAGAATAATAGTTCTTTTAAGTAACTGTCTTTTGTTCAGTTTTTGCGTTAATTTTTGGACAATGTGTCATAAAGGATCAATTCATATGAAACTTCACTGAGGATAGATTTCAATAAAGTAAAATACCGCAAAACAAGAATGACAACTTTCCAGTTTTTGGAGTTTTTGCTCTTTTCTATTCACTATGATTTGTTTGCAAGACCATACCTTCTAAAGCTATTTTGAGATATAAAACTTGAAACTGTAAATTGAACATGTTTAATAGGATTGAATTGCAGAGCACAAGGACCAAAAGTGTTCACTAAATGGTTCTTCGTTGTTTTTTCTTTGTTTCTTTTTTCAAGGGAGTGTTATTTTTGTCATGATTTATTATGTGTAGGCTATAACTTTTCATTAATTTTCTCGAATGTCATTACTTGGAATTTTTACATATAATTTATGTAAGGGTTACTTCCCCTATGAAATGTATCTCCTCCTTTTTAGTGGCGGATTTTACTGTCTGTGATTCCTTCTTGTATGATTGATTTATTTTAACGTCATTTAAATATCCTGACATCATTTTTCTATGGTTTTATATCATAAATATAATGCTCAAGTGAAGATTTGTCAAATTGATATTGTTTGTTCCAAAAAGCATTGTTTGTAAAGATAATACCGACTTTACATTTCATAAAGGGAGGTAATTTGAAATATATATTCTATTAAGTGTAAGTTGAATTCTTCAGTAAGAAATGAATGCATACATGTATATTTTAATGATTACATATAATGTGGACAAGCTTTTGCAGCACGTATTTTACATATTCCACAATGTTTGAAAATTGTTTTAGTAGCATAATTATATACATATATATAAAATTTCAATTGGTAACAACCTGAAATATAACTTACATGCAGGGTCTTTAATTACCAAGATATGGTAAAGACTGTGATAAAGAAATAACTGTGATCTTTGTTTTTTTATTTTATCTAATTTTTTATTTTAGGTAAAAATACGTACACATGATACAACTTTCATAACATTGTCAAAGTTTCCATAATTGTGATGCCTGCTTTATGTGTCATGGTATGGCAGAACACTGACTTTTTAACCAGTTCATGACAAAAATGATTTACATGTTGTTCTTTAATAAACTATTTAAATCAACCGATATATATTGACTTCTTTATGTTCATAAACGTACCATTATGTTGTTTTAAAATCTAAATCACAAGTTTAACAAACCTGCAAATTATTGGGTTTTAAATTATTAACAAGATATTAAAGTCAGCATTTTTTGAATAAATGCAGGCCTCTAATATGTGTACGAGTCCAACAGAATCTTAATCCAGTATGGCCCACTAAACAATGTATAATGACTTGAGATCCAAACTGTCCCCATCTAAAGTCTTATAGTCCTAGCTTTGTGTTGGCAATAAATTTTGAATCATCACTTCGGATCCAACACAAGCCCAAGTGCACCTTTCTGTTATAGTGATCCAGTCAGTTGAAACTTTGCCATAGCACCTTGTTCCTGCCCAACAACGCCATTCTTCAGAATCAAAAGAAGTGATCTCTGTAAAAAGAAGGAAAAGTTAATGTTGCCAAACACAAGTAGTTATTGACAAAAATGGTTTTGTAAAAAATTGTGAGAATAATCCACAAAAAGCTTAACACAGCAATGCTTTTCAAGATGTATATATTTGGGTCCGAGTGGGAGCATCTCTGAAATCGAGTCAGACTTGGAGCAGTTTCCATTTTTTTTTTATATAAAAAGATAAGAAAAACCTGACTTTTAAATAGAAATATTTGAAATCAATCTAGAAAAATGTGTAAACATGACTCGGTTTATGTTCCGGTACGTTAAAAATAATTTTCAAAAAGGTTTTCAACCTTATTTCATATATGTTTCGGAAAAAGTCCGAGTGGGAGCATTCAGAGAAAAACACTTATCCCGTTTTCAGGACTAAACCAGGCAATGAATCTATAAACTTTATTTACAATCATCTCAAGTACTATAGCCATTCTTTGGTGCGCTACATGATTTTTTGATACTCTTACGGTTTCTTATAATAGAATTGTATTTTACCTTCGAGTCGACGAAAAAATTGTCCAAGTGGGAGCATTCAGCAGGTGCGCGATGACGTAGTATCCTACCATTGTCTTTGCCTGAGTCTGTTTACAAGCCAGTAAAAATTTATACCTGTGTACAGATATAATGTACCTGTGTACTCTACAACATACTATTGTACCAGTATGATGTTCCTGTGTACTGATATAATGTACCTGTGAACTGATATAATGTACCTGTGTACAGATTAGAGTTACCTTTGTGCTCCCATATGATGTACCTGTGTACAGATTAGAGTTACCTTTGTGCTCCCATATGATGTACCTGTGTACTGATTTGAAATACCTGTGCACTGATATAATGTACCTGTGTACTGATATAATGTACTTGTGTACAGATTTGAAATACCTGTGTACTTCAATATGATGTACCTGTGTACTGATTTGAAATACCTGTGCACTGATATAATGTACCTGTGTACTGATTTGAAATACCTGTGTACTGATATAATGTACCTGCGTACTGATATAATGTATCTGTGTACTGATTTGAAATACATGTGTACTTCCATATGATGTACCTGTGGACTGATTTGAAATACATTTGCACTGATATAATGTACCTGTGAACTGATAAAATGTACCTGTGTACTGATTTAAAATACCTGTGTACTGATATGATGTACCTGTGTACTGATATAATGTACCTGTGTACAGATTTGAAATACCTGTTTTCTTCCATATGATGTACCTGTGTACTGATTTTAAATACCTGTGCACTGATTTGATGTACCTGTGTATTGATGTGACATACTTGGGAACTGATGTGATTTACCAGTGTACTGATAAAAATATGTAACTGTGTACTGATATAATGTATGTGTGTACTGATATGATACTTGTGTGTACTGATATGGTGCATGTGTATACTGATATGATGTACGTGTGTGTACCTGTATGATGCATGTGTGTTCTAATATGATGCATATGTGTACTGATATAATTCATGTGTGTACTGATATGATGTACAGATGTTAATGGGAAGATAATATACATCTCTTTGTTTTTTTTTAATCGTTAGAACAAGTATTAAAATAAGTCATGAAATATATGGCTTTAAGGGCATTAATACTTTGATGTTACTTAAACTGTTTATTTATGGTTTCCAAAAACATGCTCATTCGCCATATACATGAACTATCTTTTGCATCTTTATTTCTGTTGGCAATTGGTATATAAATTATAGTCAAAATACTACTTTGTTTACATTTTGGTGCCTTAAAGACACATACAATGTAACTGTATGTTCAGTGCTCTTTTTTTCAGTTGTAAAATACCTTACATACACTTAACATTATTAAACACATGTTTGATATTTCTAAAGAATTAGATATATAGGCATATCTGAGGCATAATGGCAAGTAGTATTACTGGCTATATGAAGAGTAGGTTATATGTATAAATTGTTAGTTAATTATAAATGTAGATAATAAAGATTCCATGGAGTTTGTGTAAACTTTATTTTATTTTGTTTTTCATCAAAAATTTTGTTGCTATAGTAATGAATGTAATTACTCTGTATTGTAGGTACATGTAGGCTTTTGCAAGTCAGTGACTTGTTTGAATTGTTGTTGAAAAAATTATAAAAAAAAATAGTTCTGTTAAATCTGTTTAACTTTCTGAATAAATTAATGTTTGTTTTATTCCAGGTTATTATAATCAAGGGACACAACTCAAGAGTTCAGAGAAGAGGAATACTGTGTGTGAAGTGTGTGGCAAGAGCTTCACGAGGCCTAATCATCTTATTGTACATATGAGAATACACACTGGTGAGAAGCCGTTCAAGTGCAACATATGTGGCAGATGCTTTACACAGACTTCTACACTTAAAGCGCATATGGTTACACATATGTGAAAAAGAAGTGCCTGTACTGTCATTTAAGTGGAAACATGCTTAGTTACATTAAACATTTATACTTGTATATTTTGTATGCATTTTACTAAGTTTTTTTTTTCTATTCAATTACATTTTTGCCTGGAAATCTCTTAACATAAACTATATTTTTCCACATTACTTTTAGGTATGTTAAGGAAATCGTGTGTATATATATTGAACACTTTATATTACATTTACAATGATTTTGATATTTCTTTACCCTGAACTGTAAGGTCGGATAAATTTATATATCAATTACATTGCAACCTCACCAGAGTGGCCACCTTTAGAACAATTAAATCTAGCGAATCAATTTTCTCTGAAAGTAAGTAATTACAATAAATATAATCTACAGAGACATTCCAAAAACATTTGTTCCAAAGAGAGAAGTATATAATCTACACGCAGTGAACCCCTTCGTTTGTCGGCATAGTATTACAACTGTACTGATCAAGGAAAGCAAGCCCTGCAAGGAGTTTGCTCTGTTTTCTTAAGTATATCAAAATCATTGGAATTTCACCAGTGTCCCTTCAGAGGGCACCACCAGTATTACTTCATTTTCAGTTTTACACATTTCATGAAATGAACAATATTAAATGTTTTTATTTGCTAAAAATCAGTAAACAAACTGATTCTGTTTAAAGTACCTATATTTAATCTGAAAAATGATCAAAAGAGGTCACTCTGCTATAAAAATAAGTTTTGAAATAAAACATTTTACTAGTTTTGTACATTATTTGTAATTATATCTCACATACTCTCAACTGTTACCTTGGTAACTACACATTCTATTTGTTTTGTGATGTGTTGTAGATACACATATATCCCAGTGACATGATATGTGGTTAATATGTGATTAAGCTATCTTTAAGTAGGGTTTTATACCATTTAGCATGTGCTATTCACTGCTTAGGAACTATACAAACATAGTTATGCCATGCAGGTATTTTGGAGGTATTTAAATAATGATTTTGTAAACTATAGGCAGCAAATATATATAGCTTAATACTCTATAAAACTTTATTTAGTTTTCAATACTGATAATTTTATGCCTCAGAAATGATTTTTTCCTTTCTTTAAAATGGGAAAACATCTGTATTATAATGTTTTAGTTGTTGATTAAAGCATATTAATCTCAGACTCTCAGATGCAGTACTGAATGTGAAATAATATAGTTTAATGAAAGGTAGCAAAATGTAGACAAAGTACAGAGAACTTGACTTTTATAGGAACAGAAGTAAATGATGCTTCAGCTATATGGCTTCTGGGTATTTTTTACGGAAAAAATGACTACCAAGATTTGAAAATACAGAAAGTTTTGAGAAATGAAAGAAATTCATTTTTTTGGGCATAATAGGTATTTTATGAAAATGTGTTTATAAACAAAAGATATGTGTTATGAAAATGTATTTGTATATTGACTATGTACTGACCGTCTGCCTAGGTCAATAAGGAAAACATTGGATTAGTAATGTAGGTTGCTGATTTGATCTTCAACCGAGGAATAATTTCTCAGTGAAAGTTGATCACTGACATTGGTCTTTTACTTCTGATTCAGAAATCATGTATGATTAGTAGTTGGTCAGTTGTGGAGCAATCGGTAATTACTAATTACGGGAATTACTATATATTGATTACATGAAAGCTGGTTAGATTGATTGATTGGCAAGATGTGTTTATGTCAGAGAAAAATCAAACAAACCTGTACTGACTGACAGACTTTTAACAAGAAAATTTTGTTAGACAATATCTAAAAATAAAGGAGTAACAGATCGTAATGATTTGTAGATTATTATTTCAATTTGATAATAAACTTCATTAATTGTTTAACAGTTGTTACAATATTTTATATCGCTTATTACTATCTAATTTATTAAACGTTTCCGATTGTAATTTTATTGAAAAAAAAAAGCAACAAATTAACCTAAAAACCTATAAATACCCACTAAATACCAACAATATTACACAGTAAAACAGTATTATCTGATTTTGATACCACTTATGTGGTATGAGATTCCATTATGTGAGTCTAATTCTGCATTGATTTCCATACCCATAGACTATTTTTTCTTTCAGATTTTATGGTTTTCACAATAGATGCATTTTTAGCTTTATGTTTTGCACAAATGAATGCATCTAGTCAAAAGTCAGAAATAAATAATTACTGTATGTTTGTGTGACTTGTTTGTTAATATTTTTAGTATAACATACTGATTGTTTACATTTCAGGCACCACCACATCAATGCCCAGTGACTTGACACAGGATCTGACCCTTGTTCAGAGTCTTCAAATGAAGAAATGTGAATGTAGCTGGTGTGGAAAAAATTTCCCGTGGCCTTCAGCTCTTGAGATCCACATAAGAACACACACGGGAGAGAGGCCATTTAAGTGCAGTATTTGTGGAAAGGCATTCAGTGCCAAACATCATCTTAAGTCCCACATGATAACTCACCAGCCTTATAAAAAATAAACAATTAAATATGTCTTCTATAAGTACATATGAATTTAAACGTTAATACTTATATATATGTTTGCCTTTGTTTCTTGACTGACCATTGCTCTATATTTTTGTACACCATAAGAATTTTTTTTTTGGCTATAACGTTATGCACCTGGTTTTCTGTCCATCTGTGTGCAATTTCGTGCCCGCTCTGTATCTTTTTAACCGGTTGAAGAAAAATGAAACTACATAGGAGAGATATTTACCATGATATGGCGATGTATAGAGCAGATCATATGACCGGACTAGTGCAAATGTATGCCCTGTCTACAAGGTCCAGCAAACTATCGCCCAATTTCCTTTGCAAAATTAACTATTTGGCCTCGTACACTAAAACCAATATTGGCAAAGTTGAGATGATCCAGAGACGTGCAATACGATGGGTAAAAAGGAATTACTCCTCTCTCTGTAGTGTCACAGCCATGCAGGAAGAACTGGGTTTGTGATCCCTTGATCCCTTGACTGTAGACTCATCATTTTTATAATATATACCATAATCTAGCTGCCATTAATCTCCCACCATATGTCCAAACTTGCAAGCTCTCTATATATTAACCAGACATATGCACGCCAAATACAGGTTCCTCTGACTACCATGCCTAAGTACTCTTCCTTCTCTAAAAGCATTTTACTATGGAATAAACTCCCTTGCTACATTGCCTGCATACAAATCTTTTGAAAGTCCGTTCAAATGGGCAATAGTAGGATTGTCTGTATGGTACTGGTCTTGCTCCTAGTATTTTTAAATATTTTATCATTAAAAATTGCACTCGGGCATATATTGCTATATTAAGATTATTCTGACTTTCTTCACTGACCACAGTACTATCTTTATCTGTAATATATTTTGTTTTCTTCAAAAAATGGTTTTCTTCAAGAAAACTAACCAATTGTGTTCTTCAATTTGAAATGTGTTTGTTTTCGTTCTTTAACTAACCATTGCTTCCTGTAATATGTGTTTTTACTGTTTATTTACTAACCATTGCTCTGTACAGGTCTCTGTAGCCCATTGCTTTATATATTTGAGTTCCATATAGTTACCGCCTTGTCCCTTACTCGTGCATTGTCTCGAGAAGATTGAATGAATATGTGTATGTCTGATTTTTGACCGAGCATTGCAATATTTATTTGTGAAATATGTTTGTTTGCGGTTCAGATCGTTTTCAGAGATGAAATTTCAGGTAGACTCACATGAATTCGCACTTAATATATATATTTTTTTGTTAAATCACATTTTAATGAAATACGATTTATAGTATACCTTTAATTTATGCTAATATAGAAGTCCTCTAATACATTGCTTATATATAAAGACGAGAAAACTGTTTTACTTTATGTGTATCTTTACGCGTAGTTTTTAGAGACTGAAAACTTTTTGCTTAATAGAGAAAAAATGAGATTGTTTTATGCTTTTGTTAATCGTGACTGCTGAACTTGAGATAAATGCTTTTCCTACGGTAATATTTCGTTTGATCGTGTCAACGGTTTACAATATCAATTATTATAGTATATTCATATTAGTAATACTCAATTGATCGAACCAGCAATGAACACATTACAGATATTGGTCAGATTGCACTTAATTATGTTCTTTACAAATGGAATAACCCTGTTGTGAAGATGTAATAACTGTTTATACTATTTTTTGTTGGTTTGTTTGCATTTACAGTGCGCCAACACAATTTATACTACACTAGGGACAAATTTGGGTTATTGAAATAAATATGATAAATTTTATGAAATTGTATTTGTAATATAGCAATAAATGTTTTGTACATACAATGTTTCAGATTTTTTTCTCTTCTTGTATTGTTTATTTCTTGTTACGCTGCAACTATGTCACATGACAAAACCGTTGACTTAAGATGAAGATGAATAAAAGTTTTCACAAAATATCATTGAGATATGGTTAACCGATATGGTTAACCTGAATACCATGTCAAAAAATATATGTCTTTTTCTGCAATCCAGTGACATAGTACAAATTAAACAATATGCACGCACAACGTTTCGTTATTAAAATTGATCTTTAACATTTGAACTGTGCTAAGAGAAAAATAGAAAGAACTTGAATCCTTTAATTAAGAAAGCCCGAAACTGCAAAATTAAAAGTTTCACCACTCTAAAAAATCAAGAGAAGTCACTCCAATTATTTCAGCTGTTAAATCGGATGTGGTATCAGAGACTAAAAATGTATTTACCTTTGCATGGCAAGATGCAGTGTGAACGAGGGTATCTGGTGGCTTTAACACAAGGAGGCCTATCTTTTTTTTTAATAAAAATGTACTGAATTGTGCTGTAGAAGCATGCATATTTTTATTATAAAAGTCAAGAAAGATTGAAAATTTTTTGGTGTAACTCAGAATGAAAATCGAATCAATACTCTCGTAAAGAGTTATGTCTGTAACGTTTACAGAAATTATTTGTATGTTTAGAGTTTGTTTTATCTTCCAGGTATACTACAGGGTGAAGAAGATTTACCTTACTTGTTTCATCAAGATTCTGAATTCTCATCAACTACAACTCAAGGGAAACAACTAGGTTTAGATAATCGCTCTGTTTCGACATATGAAAACAAGAAATATGTGCATACATGCCCTGTGTGCAATAAAACGTTCACAAGACCAAACCATGTGGCAAAACATATGCAAAGGCATACAGGAGAGAGACCATTTGAATGTGGTGTATGCGGAAAGAAACTGTCTCGTATGAGTACGTTGCGGGAGCACATGGTTTTACATTTGAATAAGTAAACGTGTGCATGAAGTGAATACATTAATAATGTATTTAAATGGATAAATGTGTACATTAAGAGAACAATTGAATGAATAAACAGAAAGATTAAGTGAATATTTACATCAGTAAACGTGAAACATAAAGTGAATATTTGAATGAGTAATTGTGTATGTTAAGAGAAAACACCATTTAACGTCACAAATAGATGCTATAACAGGGAAAACAGAAAAATCTTTGTTAATTGATTACTCTATTTACTGCTTTTATTCTTAAGGTAAAGAACTTGCTTATTAAAATGTGTTGTTATTGAGCCAATTCACTATTTATAACCACCATTTTATCGGTTTAGATTGCATGCTTTATATTTATTAGATTTAATCTTTTTTCTAAAGTTATTGCCATTTACAAGATTTTTTTTTATCTCAAAACGATTGTGTTCTAACCTTCTTAATATTGATCATGACACTCTTTATTAATGTTTACGATATTATGAATTTTCCTTAGTGAAGTAACAAAGTGATCCCTACAACAAAATTACGTGAAAATTTCAGACTCGGTTAGATCGAGTCTGTTATTTGTTGCAGAATGAGTTAACAATTGTAGGAAGGGAAATTTGAGAATTTTGACGCAAGTTTAAGATTACATTTATGCGTAAATGCGATTTGAGAAAATCTGTCCACCGATAGTGGGAATTTTAAAGGTCATTTTTGGTTTGGTTTCGTTTAAATGCCATATCCTAGTGTATTTTATTTTACTCTGACAAGAAGGTGGCACTATTAGAAACATACACCACGTCTTTTGAACGTTGAATAAAAAAATTGGTTTCTACTGCGAACATTTTTCTAAGAAAATATGTGTCATGTGACAGTTCTTGCAAAATTGTAATATTTTTCGGTGGGAAGACACCTATACTGGATACCAACTTTTAGTTACAATGAAAATGCTAACAAAAAAGTCAATTTTTCATATAAAACTGATTTTCAGCATTTTTTACCCATATTTCTTATATAAAGTGATTTCAGGCATAGATACGCACTTTACTATGGATTTTATGATTTCTGTTCAGTGCACCTTTCCAGCTTTACCTTGTAGTGGAAGATGTCAGGTGGTCGTCCGTGCATATTTTCGTGCATATTTCGAGCGTGAATACTTTTACATAAACAGAATATTTCAATGCTTCGGAACAAAATATGCTGCTATTTTCAGTAGGGCAATAACCATTTAGCAATGGTTTCCTATGTGTGTCATTCATTCATAAGGATATTTACCAATATTCTTTCATACAGGGTCTTTCAAATTTGAAATACCCTGTTTCATATAAGCATTTTGAAATTACTCTTTTTTTCAAAATTCAATATAGATCTGTGAACTGCAGGCAGGAAAGAAATCGCTTAAAGCTTTTTAATATTTTTTATTTTGAATTTCAGGTTGTAATCCACCGTCTAGATCATCGGAAGCTTACAAGTTTGTTTGCAGCGTCTGCGGGAAAGCTTTTACACGTCCGAATCATCTGACTGCACATATGAGAAAACACACTGGAGAAAAGCCATTTGAGTGCAGTTTGTGTGGGAAACGATTAACACATTCGTCTACCTTAAAAACACATATGCTTATACATATGAATATATAGAAACGTACGTGACTAATTTAATCACCATTTAGTGAGTAAATTATGGGAAACCTGTTTAAATATAATCTTTAGATCTATTGTGTGTTTTTGTTGTTGTTGTTGTTGTTTTTAACATGCACATGATAGTTTTAGTTTTAAGTGAAATAAATAACTAAAATACGGTAAAGTAAATTCCCAATCTGGCTAGATCTACTTGTTTTTTTAATGTAAATTCTTTACATTACACTTCAGGAAATTAATTGCACATCATTATCATAGAGCTTTTTCACGTGACATTTTTGTAATCTCAGCAAATCACGCTATTTAAAGACAAAATGTATTATCCCCCTTCCCCGGAAAAAATAAATAATTAAAAAAATCCTGGCCTAACTTTACTATTTGTTTTCTGTCTAAGCAGAAAATAAAACGTCACGTGATTGAGACAATGTGAGGAAGGTGCGGTTTTTATTGACAAAATGATTAAATTGAGATTTCCTAAAATTGTGTTGTTTTTATTTCTCTCGTTTTATTTTGAATAACGACACTAACATAAAATTTTGTAAATTATAGCATAAGTCAAATTTTTCATTTCAAGCCAGAATTACAACTGCCCCTAAATTGTTCATTGATTTATTGGTAGTGAACTTTGATTTGACTTGATTTATTTCAATATGAGGTAACTGCCACGTACATCATAAAGCATAACATAGATACATTATGTATGAATCGTTATCACACACCCGTGCCGATTTTGCGACTCCGTAAATATGGTATTGCACGGCCGTGCATATATTTTGACGTGACGTCATTAGCGTTATACAAACATAGTGTAAAGACGCGCTAAATGTTAGCGTTATACTATAGGCGCGTCAATGAAAAATGACTCTTATTTCACTTTAAACGGTCTTTATTTTTGGTATGTGATAAATAGAATATTAAATTCGTGTAAGTTCATTACTGAATTTATTGCACTCGTTGAATAAAATAATATTATGCTCGCCAGAGGCTCGCATAATATAATTTTATTCAACTCTTGCAATAAATTAGTATTGAACTTACACTCATTCAATATCCTCTATGTATCAATGATTACATACACGCAAAAAGAGTTTGAACAAATACTTATTTTCCTTATTGGTCTTAGGAAATAGTATTGTGACAATGAAATATTTGGGTTCTTTAGATATATTGTGACAATGAAATATTTGGGTTCTTTAGATATATTGTGACAATGAAATATTTGGGTTATTTAGATAAATTGCGGCACTGAAATATTTGGGTTCTTTATTTAGATATATTGCGGCACTGAAATATTTGGGTTCTTTAGATATATTGCAGCGTGATCAGAATTTTATTACAATAAATTAGCTGTGACTGGAAATACAAAAATGAAAATACACAATAGAGTCTATTTTACTTGCATATTTCTTTTCTTTCTTCCTGCTTATTTTATTTTTCAACACGTGCTTTGATAATACAATGTGTTTTGATAATAAACAAAAGAAAATGTAACCTTATACCATTATCATAATATTATAATGGTATATATATCTTGTGAAATTTAGTTAATCTCTTTTTATGCCACCGCAGCATCTGCGATGCGGTGGCATATAGCGATTCACCTGTGTGTGTGTGTGTTTGTTTGTTTGTGTGTTATATAGATTATATAGTGAACTTAAAAAATCTTCTTGTGAAAAACCACTAGTCCAATTCCAACCAAACTTGGCAGGATTGATCCTTGGGTGAAGGGCTTCCAAAGTTGTTCAAAGAATTTCATTCCATGCAGAAATCTGGTTGCCATGGCAACCAAAAGGAATTATAGGAATAAATTTAAAAAATCTTCTTGTAAAGACCCAAAAGGCCTAGAGCTTAGATATTTTGCATAAGGCATTGTCTGGTAGACCTCTACCAAGATTGTTCAAATTATAGCCCTGGGGTCAAAATCAGCCCGCCCCGGGGTTCATTGATTTTCACTATATGTACATATAGTAAAAACTTAAAATACCTTCTTGTAAAGACCCAAAAGGCCTAGAGCTAAGATATTTTGCAAAAGGCATTGTGAGGTAGACCTCTACCAAGATTGTTCAAATTATAGCCCTGGGGTCAAAATCGGCCCCGCCCCGGGGATCATTGTTTTTCACTATATGTACATATAGTAAAAACTTAAAATACCTTCTTGTAAAGACCCAAAAGGCCTAGAGCTTAGATATTTTGCATAAGGCATTGTCTGGTAGACCCTTACCAAGATTGTTCAAATTATAGCCCTAGGGTCAAAATCGGCCCTGCCCCGGGGGTCATTGATTTTCACTATATGTACATATAGTAAAAACTTTAAATACCTTCTTGTAAAGACCCAAAAGGTCTAGAGCTTAGATATTTTGCATAAGGCATTGTGAGGTAGACCTCTACCCAGATTGTTCAAATTATAGCCCTGGGGTCAAAATCGGCCCTGCCCCGGGGGTCATTGGTTTTCCTTATATGTATATAGTAAAAACTTATAGTAAAAACTTTAAAAAAATTTCTTCTAGCAATTGGCAAATGCTAGAGGTTAGATATTTTGCATGAAACATTGTGTAGTGAACCTCTAGCAAGATTGTTCAAATTATAGCCCTGGGGTCAAAATTGCCCCCGCCCCGAGGGTCATTGATTTTCAATATATACATATAGTAAAAAATCAAAAAAAATCTTATTGTCTGATGGTACAAGGTACAAGGCTTCAAAAACTTAAAATACCTTCTTGTAAAGACACATAAGACCTAGAGCTTAGGTATTAATGCGGTGGCATAGCATTTTTCTCAAATGCAATCTTGTTTAGATTTGTTACCACAAGAGCGTTTTACTCTCTTGTCGAAAGATATATAAAAATGATATACAATGATGTACTGGAATTTTTATTTTGGAATTTTTATTTTCAGTGTATGATCCGGCAGACGACCAGGAATTTCTGCATCAGACACAAACTGATCCTAACAAGAAGTATGTATGTAATGTCTGCTATAGAGGATTTACCCGCCCAAATCACCTGATCATACATATGAGAATACATACTGGAGAAAAACCCTACATTTGTGACACGTGTGGCAAAAGTTTTCCCGCAAATTATGCTTTACGGAAACATTCTGTTATACATATGAAGGATTATATGATTTGAATCTTTTTGTGAACGGCCATGGTTTGTGAACGATTCCATATTAGTGAACGAATTAATATTTTTTAATATTCCGCGTTTGTTGATATACGTTTTCATGTTCATGAACGTATTCCATGTTTATTAAAGGATTCCATGTTTGTGAGCGGTTTTATGTTTATGAACGTATTCCATGTCTGTAAAAGGATTCCATATTTGTGAACGATATCGTGTTTGTGAAGGATGTTGCAGAATAGAAACATTCTTATATTCTTTCTTTGTTTAGACATTGAAATATGTGATTGAACTTTGGAAAGACTAAAAATTGTCACAAAATAACGGACCGGTGTTATATATGTTAAAAGATGTTTAAAAATATATATTTAGTCTTTTCCATTTATAAATATTTCATGTTTTTCTTAGTTAGAAATGACATGTTTGTAGTGTAACAGTGCCCCCTCCCCCCTTTCATTTGTACGGTGACTTACCAAAACAGCAACAACAACAAAACAACAACACTCAAAACATTCCATGTATTGGTTATTGTCTTGAATGAGCAAGCGCTATACGCTTTATCTCCTTAAAGTAATAAATTTTCTTAAACCGACTTAATCCCCACGAAGATCACAAAAAGTCACGTGGTATAGGCATTGCGATTTTGCATTAAAACGTATCTTGGAGATTACGAAAATCATGTGTAAGTCCTTTTCCTCGGTCAGTATTCATGTTGCTATAGTAATACAAAGTAAAAACGCAGATGAAAAGGTGTTTCGAGACTTTATTTTTTTTTTAGTTTTGATACCGAATAACAAGTAAACAACTACACGTTGGCCGTTTAGGTGAACAATCTTTTGCTTCCTTCGTCGTTTTCAAATTAGTAGTGTTTGTGCGGAAGTCAAAATACCAAATTGTTTTCACTTTGATTCATTTATGGCATATTATTGTACATCTACATATTTTGTAATAAAAGTATGATCTTGTAAAAAATTTTTATCCGTATAACTTTAAATGCAAATTTAAATTTTGTAAAATGCTTGTAGGAGTCACGAGATAAACCTTTAAGAAGTAATAAATACAAGTGTTTTTAATGTACAATTTTTAAATGCAATAGGTGTTTATTGTATTGTTTACCGTCTGTCTGTTCCAAATTATATGTAATAATCCAAATTAGCACTTAATCACAATTTTTAAATTAACTTGTTGGTTCGTTTAATATTTTAACCGTCCATTATTAGTGAACAACAACGTAATGTAAAGTTGTTCATACCCACTTTAAAATGAAATGCAGTTAGACATTTATTTGGTAACGTCCTTATTGTGAACGAAACGTTGGGTAAGGGAATGTAAGGACCCTGGAAAGTCAAGCTATGAATTTATGATGTTCGTAAATTAAGCACCCGGTCAGAGAAACAGTTAGTTTTAGTCCGAAATTAAGATGGTCCCTTAATTCTTTCAGCGAGTTTTCATCTTGAACATCTGTCTAAGGATATTTTGTATTTAGTACTCGCTGTATTGTAGATAAGTTTATAATTCTTGTTATAAAATCATGTAAAAACAAAGCTGAGCATATATCTTTACAAGTTAAACTTCTTGATCTTTTTTTCCTAGAATTTCAAATATTTTCCTCCTTTCATTGAAGAATCGTATATACATGTATATACATCTCCTTTCGCTTTCTATTGCACTTCGTTTGTGAAGCACATGTCTTATTGTATATTCTAACACTACTCCCATTCTTCTATTCTTAAAACAAAGAGCTAAACTTTGGAGAAAAAATGCATACATGTCGTCACGTTATTAGTATTGGTATGACGTCGGTAGAGTAGATTTTGACATTAATAGTGACGTCTCTACTAACTGTATGTTAAATTGAGTACAAAAGTAAACCTTAACTTTCTTATACTTTATTTGTATATTTCAGGTTTCCTAGAAGATTATCAATTCGAAGCGACAGACAGACGCCAGGGTGATGTCAAGCGTCACGTCTGTACAGTATGTAGCAAAAGCTTCACAAGGCCGAACCATTTAATCAATCATATGAGAATTCACACCGGTGAAAAACCGTTCCAATGTCACATATGTAAGAAAAGGTTTAACCTGAAAAATAATATGAGGACACATATGGTGTGTCACATGAAGTAAAACAAGCGTCTCTTGTGTGTCACATGAAGTAAAACAAGCGTCTCTTGTGTGTCACATGAAGTAAAACAAGCGTCTCTTGTGTGTCATATGAAGTAAAACAAGCGTCTCTTGTGTGTCACATGAAGTAAAACAAATGTCTCTTGTGTGTCACATGAAGTAAAACAAGCGTCTCTTGTGTGTCACATGGAGTAAAAGAAGCGTCTCTTGTGTGTCAATGAAGTAAAACAAGCGTCTCTTGTGTGTCACATGAAGTAAAACAAGCTAGTCTCTTGTGTTGTCACATGAAGTAAAACAAGCGTCCCTTGTGTGTCCCATGAAGTAAAGCAATTGTCTCTTGTATGTCACATGAAGTAAAACAAGTGTCTCTTGTATGTCACATGAAGTAAAACAAGTGTCTCTTGTATGTCACATGAAGTAAAACAAGCGTCTCTTGTGTGTCACATGAAATAAAACCAGTTTGCTTTTGTGAAACTTATAAATGTGCAACTTATAAAAAGTGTCACATGGAATGTTGAAATCAAGTTTGCGTTTGTGTCATGGATACAATATGCCACATGAAAAGTTGGAACGAAAAACAATTGATAGTGTGTCACCAAGTGAAGATGTCATCGTTTATTTAATGAAAAAAATGTATTATTGCTGGTATTATCATATGTGTGACATGAGATGGAACCCGGGCACATTATTTTAATGTCACACAAAATGAAAATTAAAAATATTTGAAATGTATTTTAATGTATATATTTTGATAAATATGTGTCACACGAAGAAATATAACGTCACGTGATATGTGACACACGAACATCGCTTTCATTTATTGTGTCACTTTAGTTAAACGCGAACACATCTCATATTGCATTTAGGAAAGCAATCTTGTATTAATAATTTGAAAAACGTGGCTTGGTATAGACTTACATACAATTATATATGATGCCCTCAGATATAGAAATGAACATAAAAGGTGAGGTGATAAGAGACATTATGTCTTTTGTGTTTGCCCTTGTCATGTAAATGCTACCAACATTCGGAACAATCTCAGAAAAGTCTACTTTATATTCAAGTGTATTGGAAGTGTTTGTAAACATCTATTGTGTTGGTAAATAAAACTTTTAAAGATATATTTCATTGTTGACTGATTTAAGAATTTTGTTGTCTTTGCTACAATACAATGTGTGTTTTGTTTAGGTAACTTTTGATTGTCGTATTTTAGAAAAGTGTATCAAAGAGTTTTCGTTTTGTGTTATGTCAAATAAATCTATGTTATTCTATAAACATATTACAAAACATTCAGCGAAGCTCCTGCTAGTGTAACTTGTAACTATGAACATTAAATTAAAGAATCGTTCACACACATGCGTATATTATAATATAAAGCTACTTGAGGTTACACATATAAAATATCCAATCAAAGATGAAGCTATCCAGAACCTAGAATGGTTCAGCACTTAGCTTACGTAAGATCAGTGGTTCAACTTAAATGTCCCCTTGTGCCTAAAAAGTCTTGTGACATTTTCCCTCACCACTAAAGCTATAGATCTAGAAAGTCCCAATATGAGCTTTATATATAATGTCGTTGTGACTTTAAAGGTGCATGCTTCCAGATGAACCAACATGAAAGTACTGAGATCCTAAGAAAAGTAAAAACTAAATTCAAGATTAAAGTAATAATTTCCATGTTATGTGTGATTTACGACTGATTTTACTGTATTTTTCACCATATAAGTAAGTGCGCGGTAAGTGCTATTTTTTTGCATATTCCAACATATTTTTGGTAAATTTCACCCATTGTAATTGGGTTTTGCGCAATACATCACGATATTCTCCTTTTAAAATACATTTTCAAATATTTCATGAAAATCAGCGTGAATTTGGATGCGTGCTGTTTTAAATCCAACCGGAAATATATTTGTTAAATTTCTTTAAAGGCCAATTGGCGTTTTTGAGCAATGTCTAGACTTAAATGATTGCATACATGTATTTTGTTTCGAAACAGAACAGTTTTTTTCCTGAGAGCCAAAAAAAATTGAATAAATAAAAATTCCCGTACATTGACAATAGGCAGTTTTAAAATCAAATCATAGCAGGTCTATGGTATATATTAATCAACCACTGTAAACATTTATTGGACAGATACGTTTTAAGTTGACATAAAATATATTTTTATGACATGTACCCTTCTACATGAATTCGTCAATTTAGAATAATTCTGTATATAGTTGTATTTTGTTTAGTTTAACTTTTACTGATTGACCAGTGATGTTGACATAACTGTAAGGAAAATGATATTGACCACAAAAGGGCACGAACACAAACTACAAATGTTTAAGGGTGACCACACTTCTCCACCATTGTGCTGTGCATTTTTTAAAGACTTATTCTCTTGTTTATATTTCAAAACAATTAAACGTCTTTTTTTATAAATTGCATAACAATTGCTTTGCCGAAATACTATTGCTTTAAATGAAACTTTAGCATTTATAACACCTGTAGTGTATATAAACGTTTTAGTAGGTTGTCTTAAAAAATACAGTTGTTGTACAAATGGTTTGCAATATTATATGGCAAATTGTCTTTTCACTGTAAAGTTCTCTGGATTTTTTTCTCATGGTGGATTTTGTTTTACTTTTCAGTTTTTAAGCACGCCTGTCGTATTTGTGGGAAGATTTTGTCCAGTAAATGGAAGCTGCAGACGCATATGCGTGTACACACAGGGGAACGCCCGTGGAAATGTGACCGTTGTGGAAAATCGTTTACACAGAAGGGAAACTTTGATCGTCATCAGTGTGTGATGTGAAACCAGCATATCAAAGACAAAAACTACATATTGATTAACGTGTTTAAGTTTCTTTTTATGGTAAAATTTCGGGAAAGAAAAAACATTTTATGTAATTAAATGGATTGTAGGACGCTTGTATTTAGTATTTGTTTTTATTCTCTAAAAGATGTTGTAAGAATAAATGGACGAGACTAAAGGGCAAAAAGAGATACTGGGAAAATTGTCTTTTGCATGAGTATCAAAATCGTATGCCATATATTGCTATGAATACAAATGTATATATTTGTAATATAAATACGTTTTTTTGTTGAGAAAATTACGAAAGACAAAATTATGCATTGACTGACATGGCCGGAATTGTACAAAGGATGCGATAAATATTTTATATTAACAGAAACAGATTATACATGAAAATCGTGTGTATGAAAGTGTATAAACCTTTATATGATCCGGATCTTACAAATATGCGCCTCGAAGCAATATCGTTACCTTAGTTTAGTTACGGTCTAACTCCTTTTATTAAAGTAAAGGTAAAGGTCTTGTTTATTATAGTGTCACCCCTACTGAAAGGGCCAGCCATTCTGACTCATGAGACACCTTTTACTTGCATACCATGTACATCCCAACTCCTACCACTATGCCAGGCGCCAGGCGGATAGAAATTGGTAACCATTCATTTTAACAACCTCGCGGCTCACGAAGCGGCCATTTCGGAACGAGTTCCACGAGAAACATTCATCCTCCAATTAACGCTCCCCGTGGGAGTCGAACCTTCGACCTTCCGATCTGAAGGCGGACGCCTTAACCACTAGGCCAACGGTACCGTTTGTATTATATAAAAGTTAACCCATTACTGTTAAGTTATAGTTTAATTGCAGATTTCATGGCGAGCAAGAAATATAAGTTTAATAAACAGAAAGTTAGACTAATTAAGAAATTTATCTAGTCAAACTTAAATCCTTACAAAATGATGATATAGGAAGCGTATGTATACATGTGTTTGTGTTGGATATTTAGACACTTTTTGAACTTTGAATAATAATAATAATAATAAAGACTTTATTTAACGAGAGAACTCATTTGAACAAACATATTAATCTTCCATGAGGCCCTCAACAATGAACAATATAAATTTAACATATTCAAACTATTAAAATACATAAATGTAAAAACATACAGGAGATTATCAAATTGTATACATCAATGCGTGATAAAACTTCAAGTATAAGGTTTTAAAATGGTTAACAGATGTAGCAGACTTAATATAATCAGGAAGGCCGTTCCAAATACAAGATCCAGAATAAACAAAAGACTTACGAAATTGTTCAGAATTTGGTCTAGGGGTATAAAGTTGAAAATCAGATAATGAACGCAAAATGCGAGTATGAACATCTGACGATAAAATGAAATTATTCAATAAATAGGAAGGCGCCTGATTATTCATTATTTTAAACATCATAATAGTTTTTTGAAAAACAACCCTCTGTGAAAAGGTCATCCAGCGGAGTTCAGAAAAAAGTTCAGCAGATGGAGTGTCATAATCTTTGTCTAGAATTAGTCTTGCAGCTCTCTTTTGGAACTTAATGAGTTTATCCTTTAGAAAGGACGTACAGTTACCGTAAATTATGCAACAATAATCAAGATGTGGTAAAATATATGCATTGTAAAACATTTTACGTACAGGTATAGATATGAATAATTTTATACGTGATAATAAATGTAACAATGAGTTACACTTTTTTAAGAACATTATCAATATGGCTTTGCCAAAACAAGGTTTTATTAATTGTAATACCCAATAATTTTTCTTCAGAGCTACAAAAAATTTGCTCTGTTTTATATAAAATACAAGGATTACTTTCATGAATATAATTTTGCTTGTGTTTTGAGGAAATATACATGACCTTAGTTTTGTTAACATTGATAGACATGCGATTCAAACAACACCATTTGTTGGCATTTAAAAGATCATGAATAAGAGATTCAACTACTCTGTTTAGGGATACATCAGAGGTTGAAAGGGTGGTGTCATCAGCAAAAATATCAGTTTCT